CCCAAGCGTCAATGCGGCACCCCTTGCTCATTTTTCGAACCACTTGAAGGCAGACGCAACGCGTCACTTAAGGAGAATGACCAACATTTAATCGATTCAAAGTAGGATTTATTTTCATAAGGGATCCGAGAAATTTTTTTTATGTGTTGATTGTTGGTTACCTAAAACACAAGCTCCTCCTTTACCCAAGCATGGGACTGACAGAGTTGTTAAACAGTCCCAACGGAGTTAAGAGTCCTCAATTATTAGTAAATATTAATTGACTCCTTTATTTATAAACCCTTATATTTTAACTCTTTAAATTTTGAAAATACATTACTTTCATTCTCTTTAGACCACATTCAAAAGAGGTATATTTCTATGATTTTTATAATTGAGAGAGTTAATTCAACGCATTTATAAATAAAAAGATAAAATGATTCTCAGTAACAATTGATGGAATTATGGTATAATTAACCTTTCTAATATTTTCTTATGTTAAAAATAAATTGATGAAAATTTTGCAACCATTGTTTAAAATATTGATCCCATTGAATCAATTGAAAAGAAAGTGTGCATTGGTTCAAAAAGGGAGAGCCAATGGAGAATTGCATCACTCAAGTAGTTTTATATCACAAATTTGTATCCATTTTTTTTATTTTAAATTTCAATTAATTCAATTTGAATTCATCGTACATTTTATGAAGGCCAACTGTTGATTAATTGAATTTTTAATGTATTTTAATATGCACACAACACTACTTTAATTAATTTTTTCTCAATAACAGGTGTCCATTAGATATTTGTTGATTTACTGTTTTAATATAAACAAATAATTACATAATTTTTCTTGGGATTAAAAGTTATGTGTCATATGTGAGTTAAGACACTTATGGAGTTAATTATCATAAATGTCATAAGTAAAAAAAATTGAGAATAATCGAATAACATATAAGGTATAAATAAATACATTTTGAATCAAAATCAAAATAATTTTCATAACTAATATCATAATGAGTCATAACTAACACCACAATATATATAATTAAGTCATAATAACTAATATCATAATATATCATAATTAAAAATTACTAACATCAAAAGTAAAGGCCTATAATATATGCCCGAAAAGGAGGAGTGTATTACAGAATTTTTATTTCTCGCAAGTATTTATATTTTTTTGAGTATGGCTATACAAACAAAAATTGTATACATAAAACTCATACAAAATGATATCTCATATATAGTTATTCATCAAAATACCCATCATTTTGGTATATAATTGCAAAAATATCATTACCATATCATTTTTATCTTAAATTTTATATGAAAATTATGTATATATATCATTTTTCTATTTTTTTTTCCAGTTCAACTAAGAACATAATTGACAGTGTTGATATAAACACCCTTTGGATTTGGATTTGGATCTGGATCCAAATCCAACTCGTGCTCTTGCTATTCCAATTATTAAGCAACAAAATATGTAATGTTGTTGAGGACAATTGTAAAACTATATATTTTCTTTCTTTTTTTTATTAGAAAAATGTCAATATATGAAGATTTTTTTTTTGGGGGGGAGGGGAGGGGGGAATTTATTGAAAAGTCCTGATTTGGTTGTTGCACCAGTTGGTCCCACATTCCAAATGTTTGATTGCCAAGTACTTTGTAGTGGTAAACTGTCACCAAGAAGTCCTTTTTCAAATGTAGCTAGATATTGGTTGGATAGATATGTCCTCATTAGTTTATTTGCAGAGAGTTTCTGTGGTTTTGGAATGTGCCATCACACAGTTCTGGCAAGCTACATGTTGTACAAGACCCTTGGAAACTACATTTTGTACAAGACCCTTGGCAACTACTATTCCTACCTCATTCTTGTATCTATCATTGCCACTATAATATTGTTTAAAACTGTTATCCTCTATTTCCCTAGCTTTCTTAGTTGTCCACTAAGTTTCTTGTACGCAAGCTATATTAACTCTCCTCCTCATTATGATATCTACCAATTTCATAGTCTTACGAGTTAAAGTTCCTACATTTGATGTGGCTACTCTAAACCTATAGTTTTAGACTAGCTTCTTTATTTCCGCTCGTCCAGAAAAAACACGATAACCTTTGCTCATTTTGCATCATACCCAAGCGTCAATGCAGCACCCCTTGCTCATTTTTCGAACCACTTGAAGGCAGACGCAACGCGTCACTTAAGGAGAATGACTAACATTTAATCGATTCAAAGTAGGATTTATTTTCATAAGGGATCCGAGAAATTTTTTTTATGTGTTGATTGTTGGTTACCTAAAACACAAGCTCCTCCTTTACCCAAGCATGGGACTGACAGAGTTGTTAAACAGTCCCAACGGAGTTAAGAGTCCTCAATTATTAGTAAATATTAATTGACTCCTTTATTTATAAACCCTTATATTTTAACTCTTTAAAATTTGAAAATATATTACTTGCATTCTCTTTAGACCACATTCAAAAGAGGTATATTTCTATGATTTTTATAATTGAGAGAGTTAATTTATACGCATTTATAAATAAAAAGATAAAATGATTCTCAGTAACAATTGATGGAATTATGGTATAATTAACCTTTCTAATATTTTCTTATGTTAAAAATAAATTGATGAAAATTTTGCAACCATTGTTTAAAATATTGATCCCATTGAATCAATTGAAAAGAAAGTGTGCATTGGTTCAAAAAGGGAGAGCCAATGGAGAATTGCATCACTCAAGTAGTTTTATATCACAAATTTGTATCCATTTTTTTATTTTAAATTTCAATTAATTCAATTTGAATTCATCGTACATTTTATGAAGGCCAACTGTTGATTAATTGAATTTTTAATGTATTTTAATATGCACACAACACTACTTTAATTAATTTTTTCTCAATAACAGGTGTCCATTAGATATTTGTTAATTTACTGTTTTAATATAAACAAATAATTACATAATTTTTCTTGGGATTAAAAGTTATGTGTCATATGTGAGTTAAGACACTTATGGAGTTAATTATCATAAATGTCATAAGTAAAAAAAATTGAGAATAATCGAATAACATATAAGGTATAAATAAATACATTTTGAATCAAAATCAAAATAATTGTCATAATTAATATCATAATGAGTCAAAACTAGCACCACAATATATATAATTAAGTCATAATAATATATGCCCAAAAAGGAGGTGTGTATTATGGAATTTTTATTTCTTGCAAGTATTCATATTTTTTTTGTGTATGGCTATACAAACAAAATTTGTATACATAAAACTCATATAGAATGATATCTCATTTATAGTTATTCATCAAAATACCCATCATTTTGGTATATAATTGCAAAAATATCATTACCATATCATTTTTATCTTAAATTTTATATGAAAATTATGTATATATATCATTTTTCTATTTTTTTTTTCTAGTTCAACTAAGAACATAATTGACAGTGTTGATATAAACACCCTTTGGATTTGGATTTGGATCAGGATCAAACCCCATTCCTCCACCACCAAGTTTCCTTAGAGTTGGGTCTCTTTTCTTTCGACTCTCCAAGGACTTCTTTTGAAATCTCCACTGATAAATAGATTCTCTCCTATGGGTATATCTTGTAATACCTCATTCATTTGATCCAAAAAATCTCTGTTAATCTGATTATCTAATCCTACTTGGGGATGTATACACTAATAACGATCACTGTATTATCTCCAATAACTAGTTTAACTAACATAATCCTATTATCTTTCCTAATGACCGCAACTACATGTTGTACAAGACCCTTGGAAATTACATTTTGTACAAGACCCTTGGCAACTACTATTCCTACATCATTCTTGTGTCTATCATTGCCACTATAATATTGTTTAAAACTGTTATCCTCTATTTCCCTAGCTTTCTTAGCTGTCTACTAAGTTTCTTGTACGCAAGCTATATTAACTCTCCTCCTCATCATGATATCTACCAATTTCATAGTCTTACGAGTTAAAGTTCCTACATTCGATGTGGCTACTCTAAACCTATAGTTTTAGACTAGCTTCTTTATTTCCGCTCGTCCAGAAAAAACACGATAACCTTTGCTCATTTTGCATCATACCCAAGCGTCAATGCAGCACCCCTTGCTCATTTTTCGAACCACTTGAAGGCAGACGCAACGCGTCACTTAAGGAGAATGACTAACATTTAATCGATTCAAAGTAGGATTTATTTTCATAAGGGATCCGAGAAATTTTTTTTATGTGTTGATTGTTGGTTACCTAAAACACAAGCTCCTCCTTTACCCAAGCATGGGACTGACAGAGTTGTTAAACAGTCCCAACGGAGTTAAGAGTCCTCAATTATTAGCAAATATTAATTGACTCCTTTATCTATAAACCCTTATATTTTAACTCTTTAAATTTTGAAAATATATTACTTTCATTCTCTTTAGACCACATTCAAAAGAGGTATATTTCTATGATTTTTATAATTGAGAGAGTTAATTTATACGCATTTATAAATAAAAAGATAAAATGATTCTCAGTAACAATTGATGGAATTATGGTATAATTAACCTTTCTAATATTTTCTTATGTTAAAAATAAATTGATGAAAATTTTGCAACCATTGTTTAAAATATTGATCCCATTGAATCAATTGAAAAGAAAGTGTGCATTGGTTCAAAAAGGGAGAGCCAATGGAGAATTGCATCACTCAAGTAGTTTTATATCACAAATTTGTATCCATTTTTTTATTTTAAATTTCAATTAATTCAATTTGAATTCATCGTACATTTTATGAAGGCCAACTGTTGATTAATTGAATTTTTAATGTATTTTAATATGCACACAACACTACTTTAATTAATTTTTTCTCAATAACAGGTGTCCATTAGATATTTGTTAATTTACTGTTTTAATATAAACAAATAATTACATAATTTTTCTTGGGATTAAAAGTTATGTGTCATATGTGAGTTAAGACATTGAAATGTTTTAAAGTTGAAATTAAGCCAAGGTTATGTTGAAAGAAGTATTTACGTACATGCCGAGATTACCATGTTGCCAAGACTTGGAAGATAATAAAGTGGCAGGTTTTAAATAAGTACTTGTGAAAATATTTTTACAAATGTTTTCAAGTATTAAGCCATGGCCGAGATAAACAGTCAACAGTTATACCCGAAGTATTTTACCCCAAGGAAATTACACAGTTAAGGTATACCTTGAAGATATGCAAATCATTCTAAGTATGGAATCATGCAAGACAGTAAAAAGAAGACAAACATACAAACACTTGAAATAAGAAGTTGTACTTGCATTAAAAGAAGCAAAAGGGCACTTCGGCCTACAAATAAACTACTTGTTCAGATTACAAAAGTGGCATGTCGGTCAAATATGAAAACTGAAAATATTGTTCAAAAAATTAATAAGTATAAAGAAAAAGATTATAGCAAGACTACTCGGCGTCGGTGGCGGGCTGTGTCTCGACCCCAGAAGACAACTGGGGAATCTTCTCGGTAGCCTTCTAAGCCTCGAGCTCGGCGTTGATCTCTCATAGAGTCTGATCAATGCTCTTCTCGGCGATTGGCACCTCGGATGTTGTCTTCTTAGGGGAGGCACCTTTTGAAACCTCGTCCTCCTCATCCTGAGTCAAGTCTAGAACTTGCTCATTCAGAGTTGGGGACTTGGCCCCAGCAGGAACTTCGGCATCACCTGCCACCTCGGCCTCTTCGTCTTCGACTTCCTCTCCTTCTTCTTCTTCTTCTTTCTTCCCAGATGTATGGACATGGATTCAGAACCTCCCAGCAATCACTCAATGGAGAAAAGATTCCATGTCCATATGCATATGTTGTTTAAGCTCATCCCAACCATCTCTCAAACTCTCCATATCCAAAAACCCCCAATCTTCTTCCCTCTCCTTCTCAATTCTCGCAGATTACAACCTCCCAATCTCTCTCTGGACCTCAAAACCATTCAAACTCAACTCCAAATTCACAAACTCAATCGACGAAGAAACCATCTCTAATCTCTTCGTCAATTTCATCGAAGACGTCCTCAATTACTGCCCTAATAGAACCACATCGTTCCTCAGAATCCCCCAAATCAATTCATCGAACAACTTCAAAGACATCTTCAACGTCTCGTTTCTGACTCTAACTTTCCTGATTTGCATCTACGAAGCTCCCGCAGATCTCCGGTCGGAAAGTCTTAACGTTCTGAAAAATCAACTCGCGTGTCCGCGATCGAGAGAGACGACGAAGCTATTGGCCAGACTCGTGGGGTCGAGTTTGGAAGAGCAGTGGATGAGATCGGTAAATCTCGCGATCACGAATTGGATTGTGGAGCTTCAAGCCATGCTCAATCATAGCATCAAAACTCCATCGCCTCTGTTTTCGTACGGAGTTTCGAATGTTGGGTTGTGGAAAGTTCAACTGTATTGTCCTGTGATTGCCATGAATGTTGAGAAATCGACCAATCCTCCTCCTGATGAGCGATTGTGGTTTTCTTTGAACTATCACCAGCTTGAGGGGGTGATTCAATTGAATTACAAAGTGATTGTTCGAGAGAAGTGGGTTGACGTGATGGTGAACGTAGATAACATAAGGTACGTTGATTTCTTTGAGGGGGGAAATGGAAACAACAAAATTCAAAAACGAAGTTTCACTAATTCTAGTTTAGTGTGTAACATTTTATTATATTATAAAAGAGTCAAATTTTAATCCGTTTATCATGGGAGTGGTGGCTTAGTGGAGAAGGTATCACTTTTCTCATGCGAGACCTAAGTTTGAATTTGAGGGGCGAATTTGTTGCTGCTCAGTTGGTGTTTTTCGGAGATCTCGTCATATTTTCCATTTGAAACTTGGACTCATTTGTGACTTGTGGTTGAGCTCCGCTGGTACTTTGGTGGTGGATCCTTTCTTACTAATTTGGTCAAATCAGGCCAACAACTAACCTAGGCTCATCTGTAATGTGTGGTCGAGCTCCGTCGGTACTTTGATGGTGGGTCCCTTCCTATTTGAATTAAGTCAAATTAGGCAGACAACCGATTACCTCGAGACCCAGGCCCCGAATGCAGTAATGACACTTCAGAATATTTTTTTTTCTTTTTTTTTCAAGAAAAACAAAAGTTCAATCCGTTTATATATTCCTTCTTTTGGAAAATTCTATTATAAACCCCCCATGCATCCTTAAGTATATTATTTTCTTCTTTAATTATAATTAATTTTTTTTCTTTACTTATAATTTTATTTTAGTTATGATTCATGAAATCTTTAATTATATCTCATATGTTACTTGGTTATGACTTTTTTTTTTAATCTTTTTTAGTTATAACTCAAAAAATATAAAATTATTTTATTTTCTTCTTTACTTATAAGATACATAGGTACACACCCTTTGAATGTGTACCATAGTCTTTCCATTTTTGGAAAATTCTACACCCTTTGAGTGGTGTATACCAAAATCTTTTCCTCAGTAAAATTTTTGACTCTTAGCCCTCATTTTGGGTTAATTTAGCCTGACCTTTTTAGTTTGTGACTATTTTAGCTTGTTTAAAAAAATCATATTTGGGATAAGTTTAAGCTTTTTGTAGTTGATTTAATGGGTGTAAAGTGAAATGATTATTATTTAGATGTAACATTTTATTTTATTAACTAAATTAACATGTTTTATCTTTATTGAATTTAGCCAATTTGGCTTATCCCAAACAAGGCCTTAGACTTGTTATTTTGACGATTATTTCTTTTCAATCTTTTTTTTAGCACTCATATAACATTTTGAAATTATTACTTTTTTTGGCTGTATGACCCCAATATTTCCAGGGGGAATTATTTATCAGTTAGACAAACAAAACAAAAAACATATCCAAACATAATCTGTATCCATACAATTTTTCACTTTCACCTCATCATAGAATCACTTGTATTCCTAATATTTTTATAATTTTTTTTTCTATCTCACTGTTGAGTAATTCATCCATATTTCAAATTGACCCACATCCCTAATCTCAATTCTTCTCTCTCATTCCTCCTCTCTTCCATGCCATTCATCACCAAATTAGGGTTTCAAAGGGTGACATGGGTGGATGCTGAAGGTTTTGAAAGGGTGATAGTAGCAAGCAGAGTGGTAGATGTTAGAGACGAGATAGATAACAGGAGACATGATTGTGGTTACAAGTAGAGGACAAGGATGTAGAGGAAGTGAATGATATAAAAATTCAACAGCAAAAGAAAAATAATTTATTATTGAATATCTAATTTCATTATTAAAAATAAAATGATGACACATATAGAGGAATAATTTTAGTTAAATAACTTTTTTACAATGAATTCCACATATGTATATTCAAAATTATTTTATGTGATTAATTGGTTTCTGTGTCTTAGATTTATTATTTAAGTGTTTTTTTGTTTTTTCAATCAGGTGCGACATTATCCGACTTGTAACCGAGACTCTCATGACCGAGCGAGGAGCCGGAACATCCGAAAAACACTTCCCCTCACGAATCTCTCTACAGCTCACTCCCCAAACCAACGTTCTAACCGTATCAGTAACCAAGTCCTCGGACAACCCAACAAGGGAAATCGACCAAGAAAAAACCCTCGAAGGCTCGTTCATTCAACCAAACTCACTGGGACTCAAGATTTCAGCTGTAGAAACCATGACAACTACCTTAAAGCCATGGAAATTTGAGCAATCCGTCTACGGTGACACAGCAAACCTAAACTGGTTTCTCCACGACAGTGTAGATGGAAGAGAAGTGTTTTCATCAAAGCCTTCGAAGATGGCAATGATACAGCCCAAGGCGTGGTTTAAGAACCGGTACTCGAGTGTGTACAGGCCATTTACAAGGCAAGGAGGGGTGGTGTTTGCGAACGATGAGTATGGAGAGACTGTGGGGTGGAAGGTGGAGAGGAGTGAGTTGGGGAAGGTGATGGAGTGGGAAATGAGAGGGTGGATTTGGTTAACTTATTGGCCCAATAAGCATTGGAGTTTTTATAGTGAAACTAGGAGGTTGGAGTTTAGAGAAATTCTTCAACTTACACTTTCTTAGATATACTACTATGGAAAATAATTTGCATGGGAATTAACTTGTAGTTTGTGTTTTATGTTTGCTGAATAAATGTCTTGATCTTACCTAGAGGGAGTTTCGCATTGAATTTCTTGGGAGTTTTCGATTTCAAATATGCTATGGACCATGACATATTTCTCAAATTTTTCTAAGTAAGGTGTATGTATGGTGAAAATTGAATTAATATAGTGTGGGATCCACATGTAAAACGAATCTGAGTCATTGATGTGAAATTTTAGATAATTCCAAATTTTTATATATAGGTTTGTAACATTACTATTTCGTTTTTTTTTAAATTTAAGGTCAATGCGTTAAGAAATTATTAAAAAAAAATTATATTTTTTATAAGTGAAAAGGTTGATATTTTAACTTTTTTTAGTTGATAACAAATTGAATTTTTGATTCATTTATAGCCAAATAAGTCCAAAAAAATTAACTTATTTAGCTCACTCCAAATGAAGCCTAATATTTTATATGAGTAATAATGTATAAATTGAAATTTTATATACTAATTTTTATGTGAAATGATGTGATCAATTTTAACTTTAAAATAAAATACCTATCAAGATAAATTTTCTTTATAAAAATGACATTTGATTCTTGCGGTAAAAGCAAACCATGGACAACTTTATTTAAACAAACTCAGACCTCGGAGTGTGCTCACTTCAACTTGTCTCTGACTTCTCAAATTAGCCACTAAGGGAACGTTTCGGAAAGGCTTCCGGACTAAATTAGCCATTAAATGTTACAAAAATGATTTAGACCTTTAAAAGAAGAGCTTTAATAGAGTATTAATTTGTCTTTTTCTTTCCTCTTTTTTGTCTTTTACTTCACTTTTTTTTTTTTTTTTTTTATTGGTTGACAGCTCATTAGAGCTGTCCTTTTACAGCTCTAATTAGAGCTCCAGAGCATGACCCTAAATGTTAAAAGAGGCTAATTTAGTCAATAAATGACAAAAGAGCCACAGTTGATTGGCAACAATAAACGGTCAGGGAAATTTACGAAACTACCCCTCATGAAGAGGGGCATGCGGCAGCACAAACAAAAAATAAAAAATAAAAAAAAAAAATTCCAAAAAACACATTTTCCCAGAAAAAACAAAGTTGAAAACAAAAATTAAAAACATTTTTTTTTTGTTAAAATATTTTATAAAAATAAATTCAAACTCTATTTTATAAAAATAGTTTTAAAAATTTCAATTTTTTTGTTATGTATTTGGTTATGATTTGCGTGTAGAGTTGTGAAAGTACTGTGGAGTTTCAAGTTATGTGTTTAGTTATGAGTTTTAAAAATAATTTATTACTTAAGTTTTATTTTATGTGTTTGGTTATGATTTGAGTGTAGAGTTATTTTTAAATTTAAAATATTAACATTTTAAATTATTTAAATTTTTTCGATTTCAATTTTGTGAATATTTATTTTAATTTTTTACTTATTCAATTTTGTAGATTATTTACATTATTTAAATATTTAAAATAAAATATTACGATTTAACATATTATGATTTGAGTGTAGAGTTGTGAAAGTAGTATGGAGTTTCAAATTATCAATACAACGGCATATGTTAAGAGACGCCAAATGCGCAAATCCATTAAGTTTTTCTCTCAAACTCGAGGTCTGGGATCTATTTGTATCTTGAATTTTGTGGCTATATTTTGAACCTCTATGCTTTTCATCATTCTCAGACTGAGGTCAACAGACATAGAGACCTAGATGGACACTGATCGACAGAGGGACAGAAATCGATAGAGAAGAGACCCACATGGACACAGACAGACCAAGATCGCTGGAGACAGACCGAGATAAATAGGGATCGACAGAGAGAGACCGACATCGACAGAGAGAGACCAAGATCGATAGCCAATCTTTCAAAAAACCTTTGATTTGCGACGGCGGTGCCAGTGGAGGTGCCGATCTCAGAAGGCTTTGAGCACCGGTGCCCACCGATGCTTGGGTGGTCAGCGGGGGTCACGACCCTTTGATTTGTTCAGTGGTTGTCTCAATTGGTTTATGAACACTTCGAAATGTTACTCCTTTTGTGTTTACTGCTTTGAGATGAACATATGTTACTCCTTCTGTGTTTACGAACATTTTGAAATGAACCCTTTGTTACTCCTTTTCTGGTTATCAACACTTTGAAATGTTACTCCTTCATACTTTTCATGAAAATATTTACACCATTTTTGAAAAGTTACTCCTTTTGTGTAAGAATTGTTGGCATAAGATTTATACTTTTTCTTCGAACTTACACCTTTTGTGAAAGCCCAACTTAAAGCTATTTCGGAAGTCACTTATACCTTTAATATCAGGGGTAGTTTAGTAATATTACATATGGACACCTCACCAAAAAGCCAAAAAGTCAAAAAAGTCAAAAAGTCCTTTCCAAACCAGACTTTTTAGCCCAGGCTAAAATAATCAAAAAAGTCAAAAAGTTAAAAAGTCAACCCACTTCCCAAACGAATGCTTAATTTATTTGCTTTTAAGAACTATTTACCAAGTGATCAAAGAACCAAAATTGTGGTCGGATGGCCTATTTTGAACCTGGCTTACAGCCAGTGTTTTTAGCTTTTTTAAGTTGCTTTATCTATATATTTTTATAAGTTTTTTTTATAAAAAGTTAAAAATAGTAAAAAATAATAATTTTTAGCCAACTTTTTAAAATAAGCAAATAATATCTTGAAAAATTAAAATAAATAGATTAGTGATAATTCAAATACAATGTAGATAGAGGTGAGGATAAACCTGTCTGTAACACAAAATCAATCTAGAAGGGTCATCAACATATTAACAATATAATTAGGCCTATAGCTTGTTGGTTTCCTTCTTTGTTCTCTCCCCCTATTTTTGTTTTAGATATGGTGGGTGAACAAGGTTGTGGCCCTTTGTTAGAGCAGCTGTCTGTTTGCAGCTGCTGGTTTTCTTGTGGTTTTCTTTTGTTGTGCTGCTGTCTGTTTGTCGCTGCTGTCTGGCTGCCTTGTGTTTAGTGCTTTTGTTTTGTTGGGCCAGCGCCTGGGTATTCCCCTTGTATTTTTATATATCCTTTGTTTTATTTTATGATTTATTCATCTAAAAAAGAAAAAACAATTAAAAATAATTTTTTAGTTTTTAACTTTTTTTAAGTAACATCACCTTGTTTGGTTTTCAGTTTTTCAAAACACTTTTCAGAAAATTCTACTTTCTTATTTTTCATATTTTTTTGTTTTTACTGAATTTTTTTAATATTTGAAGCAATTTTTTTACTTTTTAGACACACCTAACATAAATACACCTAAAAAGTAAAAAAATTATAAAAAAATCTTTTAAAAATTCATTAAATATCAAAAATACAAAAAAAATACAAGAATTCAGTACATTTTTTATATTTTTATGTATTTATTAATTTTTTAAAATATTTTTTCACTATTTTTTTATTTTTTAGATACATCTAAGTAAGGTGCATCTAAAAAAGTAAAAAAAAAATGTTTAAAATTTAAAAAAAATCACTAAAAACAAAAAAAAAAACACAAAAATCAAAAAAGTCAATTTTCAAAAAATTTAATTCAGAAAACTCAAACCAAACACAGTGATTATTTTTAAATTCTAAGTAACTTTGATTTGATCCCTTCAAAATCTAAATAATTGTTTTGCTATTCCTTGAAATCTCTTCTATTTTTTACTCATTCCAATATTTTCCACTGCACTTTATAACCAGGGGATATCAAGAATTTAGACACAAAGGCTATGTTTGATTGGATGGATATGAGTTTGGGATTGGATTAATAGTCTAATAAAATTATTAATTCGGTGTTTGGTTAAACAATTGAAGTACGGATTAACAATTTATCCGGATATGGACTATTCAATCCCACAGAGGGAGTGAGATATAAATTAGAGAATTAAGTCAAAGTCTGGATTATTAGTCCTTCCTTATAATCTTAACTAGTCTAAACATAGGATATGATACACAATCTAAGGCCATGTTTGTTTGGGTGGACATGAGCTTGGGATTGGACTAATAGTCTAATAAAATTGTTAATTCGATATTTGGTTAAACAATTGAAGTACGGACTAATTATTTTAAACTTGACTATTAGTTAAGATAGGATACATAATCCAATGGATTCGTAGTCCTAAGACTATTAATCATGGGAATGCTAATCCAGTCCGCCCAAACAAACATGGCCTAAAAGGATTCGTAATCCTAGGACTATTAGTCATAGGAATACAAATCCAATCTAATTTAGTCCGCCCAAATAAACATGGCCAAAAAGTACCAAGAAAAAAATAATGTGGTTGAGATTAAATTTATGTACGGTGGGGATTCACACATTATTTTTGTTAATACTTTTCTATATCTTAATTATTCATCTTTTACATTATTGCACAACTTATATCATCATTTTTATTTACTTTATACATACTTTCATAATTTTTATTAGATCATCATTTTCATTCATTTCTCACCTCTTAACTGAGAGCGATAATAAAGACTTTATAATAAACATTCATTTTATATTATTATAATCACATATTTCATTAATATCAATTATAGTTTACAATTTTTTTAAAAATAATAAAATTATAGTATTTCTTAATAGGACATGAATAACCATAATTTAACAATATTATATAATTAACACCATAAATATTATAAGTTTCAAATTCGAGTAAAAATAATCAAAAAAAATATTAAATAATATGCAACGTGATGAAATATATACATTAATTAGACTTTTGAAATTGTACTATTATAAAAAAAAAAAATATATATATATATATGAAGAAAAATATATATATTAGCCCCTCAATTAAAAATCCTAGTTATACAAATGTTGGGAGAGGATAAGGATTCTCCGTCAGTCCTTCAATCTTTTTGCCCCAAGTTATTGAAAAAAATTGTGTTTTAATTCAACAATGAAAAAATAATTCCATTTTAATGTTGGTGCAAATCTTTTATATGTGTAGTGTAAGTCTTTTTGTGTGTGTGAGATTTGTACCAAAAACGTTTTTTTGCAATTATTTTAAGATTGTCTCACTTAATTGAAATTTTTTCAAAATTATTTGATGGTGGTAGAACATGATTTTTATAATTACAACAGTTAGACTCAATACTTTTATATTAGTTTTTGGAAGACAAATGTTGGGA